CTGGGTAAGAAAAAAAAAGCATTCCTGACTTACTGGACTAGGTGTTTTCATTAAGAGCCAGGTTCATCTAAATACACTGTTTTATTTGAGATCATTCCATGTAATTAAACAGCATTTTAAAAACACTTATAACATTATGGTTAGGTTTAACATTATGTTTACCATGTCCAGCCTGAGAACTAATGGCAAAGACGCCCAAGACCACATTACAAGTTGCTATTGTATATGTAACACAGTAAAATAGAGCATGCTCAGCATCTCGAAAAAAGATTTTTGTAGCACATGTGTCCCAGCGGCCCAGTTTCCTGATTTGTCCGTACACCCCCTCATCTCTACTTGCCTTAAGCCCAGCTCGCCTCCTCATTCCTGTGACTTTACCTCCTCTCCTCTGCAGTACGTGTAGTTTTCTTTCCACAGTACACTACCTACCCACAGTACGCTGTGGAGTATACCAGCGTCTGGGGAAGGAAGCCATATTATCGCTTGTTTTGGGTTAAACTGATGCTAATTTATTGGGCACCCTGTGCATACTGATTTGGCCAGGTGGAGAGCAAGTCATGATCACATTGCAGTGCTTCCGTAAGCAAGGCTACGAATTTAAATCTATCACCTCTGCCAGGCAATTTTTTCATTAAGCGTGTAGAAACTCTTCAGCCAAATTTGGCAAAGATCAAGACTGATCAATGGCTTCAGAAGTTACTAGGGAGAACACCAAACTGTTGGATGAATAGAGTGAATTGCATAAGCAGAATTTTCTTAAGGAATCAGGCTAAAGAAAGAAGAATTAAAAATACCCCCACATCTCACGGGTAGGCAAAAAAACCTGTATCATAATAATCACCTGAAAAATTAAACAAAACATCATAGTATCTGCTGGTGAAGTATGCAAGAAAGCTGTTCTCCCCAAATTTTCTGAAACTGTGCCCATATTAAACGTCTTAGCTGTGCAAACATTTAATGCATGTTGAAATTTTTAAAGCTTCAAGAACCAATGCACTGTGATCACCCAGATCAGCCTAAATATTTTTAATAGGAAATAATGGAGAAAAGTATTATAATATTGTGATACATAAAGAAGAAAACTATACAATTATTATACAGTATAGACAGAAAAAATACAAGAAACAAGGCAAGGTAGACAAGCAATTGTATTTAGACAGCTTGGCTTTAGCTAATTAATATCTACATTCTTTCATGTATAAGACGCTGCAAATGTGTGTTACAGATATATACACAGATATCATTCCCTTAGTCTATGGGCCACCACTGTAAAATGTCCATAAAACATCCAATGAGTTCATTTAGTCCATGACTTCAGGCTCCATCTGGTTATGGTGGTCACTCAGGACCTTCCAATTCCTGACTACTGGCCCCAGTATCCCAGCAGTGGAGAAACCAGCTGGTAATTTGCTTTTCTGGATGATGGCTGGAATCTTTTTGCTCATCTCGCAGTTCACTTAGTGATCACGTGGTTTCTGACCATTTGTATGTCTTCAGATCCAGAGACCCTCCTCTTCCCCTTGAGGGTGCTGAATAGTGCTCAGTGGGCATATGCCAGGCCCTGGCACAGGGCAGTAAGTTGTGTCTCTGGCATAGCCAAGTCACCCTTTTTTCAAACATTCTATCACTTCATCAAGATCCTGCACTTGTTCGGGGGTGAAGTCCCAAACCATCAGAAAGGACAACCCTTCTAAGTACCTGCCCATATTCTCGCACATGCCTTGCTACCCATAACCATACTGCCTTGGGACATAGCCCTCTGTGATATTCCTAAAGAGTTGGTTAATCTTTGGAAAAGCTGGAAAGATATTCTTGAAGCATGCTAATAGGAGTATTTTGGTTACCCAAGGATGTTCAAGATACTGAAGAGTTATTGTAAAAAGGGAGAAAACATCTACCCTGCAGGAAGAGAAGGGGAAGGTGCCACTCCTTGTTTCATCCACTGATTAGTTCTTGGAGGAGAAAAGGGGAAAAAGTGTAATTGTTAATTGTCTTCATGAGACGGTTCCTGAAGTAAAGGGAAGGCAACAGTGCAGGGCCCAAATACCGGATTAGGCTCAAGGCCAATGTTTTTATCATAGTTCTCCTAGGCAAAACACAACCAAGTGCTATGCTGCACAGCAAATCGCAGAAGTCAAATACAGACTTTAACAAGCTCTCAAATTTGATGTACAAATGATGTGCAAAAAAAAGGGAGTATGGCATTAATCAGATAAACCAATGCTGAAAACAAGTAAATCAACATTGTGACCAGCAACTGTTAAACAAATAATAATTGTAAGTTCCCCCTAACACACTATGGTCAAATCTGTTATCTCAAACCCTTCAACAAACAAAAAACCCGATGGCTCACCACCAGCTGAGCAATGACCAGCTAGTCCCTGAGCAACCGCTGCCCTGCCAAACTTTCTCCACAGTTTTTATTGCTGAGCACGACATCACGTGGCATAGGCTATCCCTCTGGCCAGCTGGGGTCAGCTGTCCCGCCTGTGCCCCCTCCCAGCTTATTGCATGCACTCCCAGCCTGCTCACTGGCAGGGTGCTGTGAGAAGCAGAAAAGGCCTTGACTCTGTGTAAGCACTGCTCAGCAATAGCTAAAACATCCCTGTGTTATCAACACTGTTTTCAACAAATCCAGAACGTAGCCCCATACAAGCTACTGTGGAGAAAATTAACTCCATTCCAGCCAAAACCGGTATGGAGCCCAAGCCTTTATTAATAAAGAATAACCCATATTAGATACTTAATTTGCATGTTGTGGAAGTAACAGCAGAAAAGGGAGGCTGGTACAGAATGAATTATTCAGGAGGTAAAACCCAACAGTTATAATCTGCATATCTAAACCCAAAACAATACATTAGAGGGTGTGTTCTCTCATATAAGTGCATCATGTAAGATTATAAACAAGATGTCTGTAGACTTAGAGTTGAACACGTGCTAATTATTAATACTACCCTATGTAAACCTATGTCAACCTTTTGTCAACTACATTTCACTGTTTTTCACAGGCCAACTTTCAGCAAATAAGCAACACAGTTACAGGTATATTTAGATGTATATAAATATACATAGATACATATTCAATTATGACTACATACTACATTTATAGGTTGGTTAGCAGATACAACTCCGTCAAATTGAGGTCTCAGTACAACTAGGAAATTGTCAGTTCTGCTCCCAGGGACAAAGGGGAAGTTAGAAAAAGCAGGATAATTACAAGAAGCCACCACGATGTACACAATTTCTACTAATATATTGATATAGAAATCTTCCTGAATGGCAAAACAACTTTCCAGGATGTTTTCTCCTAATAATGAAATACCCTTTGAGACTAACTACACTGATACGTAACAAATTATTCCTCTACCCCTTTCCACAAATGAACAAAAAAGTGAAAGCATATAGGATGGAGGGGGAGAAAGGAGGCTCTCTCTTTATCACAGCATTATGGGTTCACTGTCTAGAAGTATTTATCTGGGGGTGGGGGTGGGGTGTGTGTGGCCTTTTGGGTTTTTGTTTTGGTTTTTTTTTTTTGAAAGGAAAAGAATTTTAAACAAACAGAAATTTTGTTTCAGAAACATAACTGGAAAAAGCAGAGTTATGCAGCATTTCACTGCCAGGATGAGCTGTTTTGGAAAAATCTTTGATGAGTAATAGCAACACATGAGTTTCATGCTACACTACAGAAAATGGCAGTAAACCTTATGTTATAAGGAAAAGATCATTTCTACCGTCATTTGATGAAAAGTTTTGAAGACTTCCTAATATTAACTGTACTGGTGAGGAACAACCTTTAGTTACTGTAACACGCTACTTAAGTCAAATGAGATGGACCCAAAACTGATGTCTTAACTACTAACCTAAATTCCCTTTATTGACAAGGAATAGGAAACACACCCTAGAAGTGTCTGCATCTCATCTCGTACTTAAGCTGCAAAAAGCCATTTTTTTTAAATCAAGCTTTCACCTTTCCCCAGTCTCAGGGATAAATCTGAAATAAAAACCAGAGCACGCAGTGAGAAAAGTAACTACTTTTTTCCTTTTAATATAGATGTAGTACAGAATGTTTAATTACAGCAGGACAGTGCTTCCAGTTAAATAAAATTAAAACCCTTTATTTCCCCCAAATATAAAATTACTAAATTAATGTCTTAAAAGAATAAGAATATGGAAAAAGCTTTAAATTATACCACCATTTACCACAGTAACCATGATCACCAATTACATACTCCATTGCTTTGGCAAAAAAGTTTTTTTCTTTTAATAACTGCATATAAACCTAACATAGCAAAGACTGTATACATCTTTATATTGCACTTATTTATACACAGGAATAAATGAACTGTAAAGTCTGCATATACTTGGAATGAGCAAAATTTCACAATAAACTGAAAGCAGAAGGATAAGAGCTGGTATGAATATTAAAAAAATGGTTAGAAATGTAATACATTTATGTACAGACTGTATGGACTGTATTAACAAACAATATGTACATAATGATTTACTACTATGATATTTTAGTGTAACTCAGTGTTCATTAATACAGACCTTTGGTTGTATTTAGTTGTTTAATAAGATCTAAGCTCACATACCTCCAAAATGCAACAAGGTATAAAATAAAGCACAACAATTTGCCAAATGGTACAAAAAACTACTATTGTCAGTTCCATTAAACCCAAAAAACTAGTGTCTCTGTCTAGCCCCAAAATAGTTCTTGTACTTGGAATCAGTCTCTATGTGCCATACACAAAAAGAACACCTGAATGTTACATATCTGCAAAATTACATCCCACAACACTTTTTTGTAATGTGCAATTAATTTGAATAATACTTTCTAATGCAAAAGAGAAATTAACTTCAACTTTATAATTTTCCAACACGCAGTTCTTCAATGACATTGTGAATGCTTTTAAATGTTACGAGCAACATTAAAAAAATATATGTGCGCCTCCCTTACTCTAAAAGGCTATTACCAGTAACTGCTATTTGCTAAGTGTGCTCAGACATTTGTATGAATTATGCAGCTTGCACGTGCCCAACATTTAGCTTCAAAATCATCCTGAGTTCGCACACAATGAAGCAAATCCACATACTTTAAAAAAACCAAACATACTTTCCTTTACAAAACAATCATGCAACTGAAGAAGAACTGGGCATCCCATGAACTGTTGTGCTTGTTGGAGTTCCACTTATGGCGTTGAAAATGTGTAGCGAATTAGGCATAACACTCGCCTTTTCTTCAACCGGAGTAATCTTAAAATGGAAAAGAGGTATTTACCAAAATATTACAAAATGACACAAGCATTTATAAAACAGCTAACCGATTTCCTAATGTGTTGCTTAGCAATTCAACTTTTTAGTACTTTCTCAATTGTACAGAACTTTTTTGGGGATGGTTACTCTTTTCAGCCATCCTCTACTAGATTTAGGAGGGCAGTAGTTATTTCTCCAGCATCAGTTCTCCTAATTTAGGTATTACACTATCCTCTCTAGAGGAAGATTGACTAGCTTCTCTCATTTCTCTTGTTAACATTCAAAAGGAGTT